AAGTGAGTTATATTCCAGTTGTTCGATAGTTGCTCACCGTTCATTGTTCCGATCTTGTAGGAATCTTTTCCGATGATATCGATAATTTGGTACGGTCCTTCCTAGTTCGGCCCCAATTTTCCTTCGTTCGGGTTTCAGGTGCTTAGAGTGACCTTTCTTAGTACCAAATCCCCGGTATTGAAGTGTCGAATATTGGCCCTTCGATTATAATATCTTTCGATCTGCTGTTTTTGGGCGGCTAACCGGACAAGGGCGGCTTCGCGCCTTTCATCTAATAGCTCCAGGTTCGTACTCATAGCTTTGTTGTTCGATTCCTTTATTGCATATCGAAATCTGATACTTGGTTTTCCGACCTCGACCGATATTAAAGTTTCGGTGCCATAAACCAAAGAAAATGGGGTAGCCCCGGTACTGGACTTCGAGGTTGTACGGTATTCCCACAGGACTTCGGGTAATATTTCCTTCCATCTTCCTTTGGCGTCGGTTAATATTTTTTTAAGGTTTTGAAGTATGGTTTTGTCGGTAGATTCAGCTTGTCTATTCACACCAGGGTGATAGGGTGTCGATAGGATCCTTTTGATCTTGTGGTCTTTAAGGAATTTGGTTACTTTGCTTCCGATGAACTATTTTCCATTATCGCATACAATCTCTGCCGGCATTCTGAATCGGCATATGATGTGGTCCCAAATGAAATCGATGACCTCCTTCTCCCTGACCTTCTCGTACACCTGACCTTCTACCCACTTAGAAAAATAGTCAGTCATAAACAATATAAACTGAGCCTTACCAGGTGCCCACGAAAGGGGGCCAACGATGTCTATTCCCCACTTCATGAACGGCCATGGTGACAAAACCGAATACAACAGCTCCCCGGGTCGATGGATCATCGGAGCATGTCTTTGGCATTCATTATATTTTCGAACGAACTCCTTTGCGTCTTTTTCCATGTCAATCCAATAATAACCGCCTCTGATTATTTTTCGAACCAGCGATTTGTTGCCCGAATGATTTCCACAGGTACCTTCGTGGATTTCCCAGAAAACATACTCAGTATCACCCGGCCCTAGACATATTGCAAGTGGGCCATCAAATGTTCTTCTGAATAAGGTTCCGTCTTCAGACATGCTAAATCGGGCCGCCTTTGTATGCAGGGCCCTCGACTCTTTTGGATCCGAGGGCAGTTTACCGGATCTGAGATATTTCACGTATTTATTCCTCCAGTCCCAAGTTAGGCTCATCGAGTTGATCTCGGCATGGCCTTCTTCCACCACCTATCTCATAAGTTGTACGACTTCTCCCAAGTTGAACTTGTCGTCTTCGACCGACGACCCCAAGTTAGCGAGGGCATCCGCCTCGCTGTTTTGATCCCGCGATACGTATTGCAAAGTCCATTCTTTGAACCGATGTAATGTCACCTGTAATTTGTCCAAGTGTCTTTGTATTCATTCCTCTCTGACCTCGAATGTTCCATTGACTTGGTTTACCGCAAGGAGGGAGTCGCACTTGGCTTCGATCACCTCTGCACCCAACCTCTTGGCTAGTTCAAGGCCTGCAATTTACCCTCAAAATCGGATAACAATTGAATTTATACGCGATTTTAAGGATACATGATCTAACTTGGTACAAAAAATGAGAAATCAGATTCAAATTGAAATTAATGATAAAAAAGGAAATGCAAATTACACAGGTTGAACAATCTTGGCCTTGAAGGTTAGTCACCCTCGAGTCAAAGATGCTGCAATCGGTGCCGGAACAGAGTGATGAGATAATAATGACTAAAAATAACAGTTTATTGCTTTGGGATGTGTGTTACCATATCCTTTATAAATAATCAGACTCCATTTATATAGTAGAGGAGTCCTAATTTAGGTACAATTCTATATAAGGTAAAAAATCTCATGATTCGCTAATTAATCGGTTTCATTGATACGTGCCGAGATTCCCGCCGTGATATTCGACCGGTTACGGATATTTCGGCCTTCCGTTATTTTGGTTCGATAATATTTTCTCGAGCTAATTCGGAGTTGTGGTCAGTTCCGGGATTACAAACCCGATAATCTTGAAGGCGCATGTTCTAACCTCGTGCCTAGGTTCGATGGAACCCAGAGTCTTCTTCAATCCATTATGTTTCATCCCCGATCTGTCATGCAATAGATGACCTCAATTTCTACCGTATACATATATAATATTAATTAGTTTAGACACAATAAATTTTAGTATGGTACAAGGAGGATGAGAAGAAACTATAGGTAAATATATTGGTGCTTTAACGATGGACAGGAGGTGGAGTTAAATTTGTAAATATGATCGAAGCAAACCAACATCTCCTTATTTTCAAATATTCTGAATAAGTCAAATCTCAAATATACGTATAATTATTTCTTTCCTCTTGCAACTCATAAAGCACAGTGACATGTCACGTAAATCTACAAAGAAGAAATCTTCAACAAACTGATTATAAACAACTTTCCTAATTAAAAAAAAAAAAAACTATTTCTATTCAAGATAAATCATTTTAATCCAAAGTATCTCAAACTCATCATTTATTGACACAATAACGAACCAAAACCCAGGATGAACATGCCATTTAAACTAAATTTCAAGGAACAAAATCAAATAAGAGTGGAGTAGTATTTTTAAAAAGGGTCATAGGAATGATAATTGAACATGCCATTTTACCTAAATTTGAGGCCAAGAAATCCAAAAAGTAAAAAAAATCCAATAGTACAAGTTACAAGAAGTCAAAGAGTTTGTTTCTATTGGGAGTGTTTCCAATTCTCCACGTTATTGCGTGCAATATGGTGTGTGCCTGTGTGTGGTGGGGCTCTGCCGATAAAGAGGTCCGATAGCGTGAAGGTAGTTACACTTACACTGCCACATTACGTTTAGGACTTCGACATATATATATATATATATATATATATAAATTTATTTTTTTTATTTTTTTTTTGGGAGAAATTCAATAGCTAGATTTACAAGTGTTAATTGAAAACAGTCACAGTTTCAAAAGTAATCGAAATTTAGCCACTTTTCATGTATAAATAAATTTGAACGAAAATACTGTTCAAAAATTCAGAAAATATTCCAGCATAATATACTGGAGTTCCAGTATAATATATCGGTCCAGCATAATATGCTGAAAGTTCATACACAGGTGCTCCAATCTCCAATATATTATGATGGAACTTTCCGCGTATTGGAGTTCCAGCATAATATGCTGAAAGTTCATACACAGGTGCTCCAATCTCCAATATATTATGATGGAACTTTCCGCGTATTGGAGTTCCAGCATAATATGCTGAAAGTTCATACACAGGTGCTCCAATCTCCAATATATTATGATGGAACTTTCCGCGTATTGGAGTTCCAGCATAATATGCCGGAAGTTCATACACAAGTGCAACAATCTCCAGTATATTATGCTGGACCGGTCCGTGTTGCAACAAAATAGTGACTATTTTTTAATTACTTTGCAAACACTGACTATTTTTGAATTAACAGTCCGAAAAATAGCTAGCCGGTGCTATTTTTACCATTTTTTTCCCCTTCCAAACGTTTAAACTTCAATTAGGACAGAAATTTTGGGCCACAAATTTAATGATTATTTCAACATGGGAATAGAGAGACAGAAAATTAACACGAAAGGAATTGAAATTCTCATACGGGTAGAAATCCTTGAGACTTATTTGAAGGGCTCCAAAAGCTCGGAGTTGCAACTTTTTTTATCCAAGGATTATGTAATTAGTTTTTGTGTTTGTCAAAGGCCTAAGAAGTCATATTACTCTTCCTCAAAGGTAGTTATGGATTTAGGTGCTCTTTCAGCGTATTAATTTATTTTTTTCAATGATAATATTTCACAATTATTACAAAAAAATATAATTAAAAGTTGTGCAAATCTGAGCATTATGGTGGGATAGATAATATCTCTTCACTCAAAATTAAAGGTCTCGGGTTAAAGCCTTGGCAATATGAAAAATCCTGATTGAAAACACCTCCCTTTTAATAAATTTTAGGTGACATAAATCCAGATTAGTCGGTATCCCAATACGAGTATGAACCAACGGGTGGGGAAAAGAATTAAAAGTTGATGCTGTTTAAATTTGGTTTTTGCTTAGTTTCTAAAATATATATTTTTAAAAATATTTCAGAAAGTATTCCGAGTTTTTCTTATATAAAAAATCTGAATTTGTGTTGATTTTTATACTCAGACTGAAAATAATAATATTTAATTTTCAAAACCAACTAGTCTAAACTATGTTTTACGAACTGTTTTTTATAAGCATTGTGAAGTGGTATAAAAGTATTCATTCTGAAAAACTTTTAAAACCAAGAAAAATGAAGTGAAGTCAAGTTTAAATATTTGAAAGTGGGATTTATTTGGAGAGGCAAAATCTTTTAAATATAAAAGAAACATAAATTTTGGTAGGAAAAGAATTCCTGTGTAGCAGCTCATGAATTCTCCATGAGTATACAAATATAGTATTCATTTAGAACTTTTAAGATCAGAGACATGTTATATCGAGTAAAAATAAAAATATATGTGAGCATATAATTATTTGCCTCTATAACTATGCGCTATTGCCCTCCATCATAATATTTTAAAAATATTTCAATTTAACATTTGTTATGCTTTAAGATTTCATATCATCTTACAAATTGTCTTAATATTTAGTCATTTAGTGACCTTAATAGTGCTCCAAGCTAAGGTAGAATATAGGACATTTTAAAACACATAATCAAACTTAGAAATTAGAATAGTCAAGAATAAATACGATAAATTATGATTATTGCATATACTAGTAGAGTGTAAATTCGACTATTTCCAAACAAAAATAGAAAGGAAAAAAAAGAGACTAGTGTCCTTATTTGCAAAATACGACAAATTTCATTTACTAATATTTCTTGAGATCTGAGTCCCCATTCAGTAATTATTCTTATTCCAATAGAGAATTGTCCTTTTTGAGCGAGGGCGAGGGGACCGGGGAATGAAGGTGAGGGGGTGCGTGTGAAGTACTAGTACTATTACTATTATTACCTCTCCTGTCCGAGTTCTCAAAATCCTTTTTTTTTTTGAGAAATCAGAAACTCACAAGGGAATTATGCTTTCAGCTTAGCTTGCTTCGCAATTTCCTTCTTCCCTCTTTCTCTTTTTAAATTATAGTACAAGATTTGGATTTAGGTTTGTTTTTCTAGATCTTCGTTGTTAATTATATAGGGAGAGCGAGTTAGTGAAAGAGCGCAAGTGAGAAAATGGAGGAAAGTAGGTTGTGTCAGTGGACTGTGATTCGATCCGTATTATCCATTCTTCAATGGTGGGGTTTTAATGTCACTGTTATTATCATGAATAAATGGATCTTTCAGGTGAGTGATTTTTCCCTCTTCACATCTCGATTTTTCAATTCCTTATTTCTGTCATGTGTGGATTTCTTCTCAATTTTCCTGATTTTCACTTTTCTTTATTTACTGATCCTGTTTTTATTTCTGTATTTGAATTATATTGATTTATGGTAGCAGTGATTTTTCAAATTACAATTTGGTTAGTACCTCATCGGGGTATTGATATCAGTAAATGCAAAAACCATGTGCGCGAAACTTGGACTCACAGAGTGTTTTTTAGGCTTGTTGTTCAAAACAAATTGTAGCTCGATCTTTGCTGGCAATTTGTCTTTGTCTGTAGAGATTGAACTGGAGCTAGCTTATGTTTTGTCTGTATCTCCTTTGATGAACAAAATTCAGGACAAGATTCGAAGTTTATCTCTTCTTATTTTTAGCTACAAAGTTATTCTTCTTTTGTCTTTTGTATTGCTGAATGATCTCCTTTCCTCATTTCAAGTGGTGCCAATTTTCACGTGATGAGCATTCCTTAGTGGAATTGAGTTTCTTGTTTTTGTGTGTTGGGCTATCTGACATTTTTTTTTCATGAATTTTCTTAATTGTGATACTGTGATGGGTGGTAGCGAGAAATGAAAGTACTCCTACTGTTCGCCTTATCTGCAAATTTCTATTCGTTGTTTGCTAAAGCAAATATCCTTCTTTCTGGAGTAATATTAAGTGGTGGTGGGATAAATTAAAAGAAGTATGAATGGAAGACCAGATTTCAAATAGTGGTGTTTAACTGGTAGGTATTCGTGCTTGAATGCGGTGTACAATTCTACGATGACGAGTGTTGAAACAGTAAAAGAAGGAACAACGTATAAACCATCCCAGAATGACTGATAGGATTACTGTCCTTAAGGGTTGTCATTTGTTATGCGGTCCTCATTCTTCCGGTGATTCAGAGTATTGTTTTAACCTTATATTAGCTACACTTTCGAGCTTAGCACCAAAAGAGGCACATAGAAATGCATCAATTATATCGCCTTCCCCACGGAATGGAATATAAACATCTGATCCTCCTCAAGCAATGAGCACGACCGAGTCGTGGATTGAATTTCCTGCCATCATAACCATGAACATTGTCTCCTCAAATTGACGAACACTTTCTTCTATAACATGGTATCAGGCTAGCTTGCACGCACCTCAACTAATTTCACTGGGTACCTGGTACCTCCTACTACTATAGTTACTGGGTAACTCTCTACCAAGGTTTAGAAATATATGAAGAAATAACCTAGTGTTTTTGGCGTCGCGGAAATGTTAATGTTAAGATGGATGTCGGATCATAAAAGATAAGACAAGATTAAAGATGATCACATTCGACAGAAGGTGCAAATAACAAACGTTGAGTATAAATGAGAGATGGTTGTTTAGATGGTTTGATCTTATCTGGCGTACATATCGAGATGTACCAGTTCGTAAATGTGAAATCATGATGGTTGAATATCTTAAAAGGTGGACGAAGTAGACCAAAAATCACCTTGAAGGAAGTTGTATCATAGTATTTACTATCACTTCGAATCCATGGTGACTTTGGCGAAAATTAGGGGGAAAAGGGGTTGCTAGGTGCACGAAGCATCCCCTGGGAAGGGCCCGCACATCAAAGGGTTCGGTCTTATGTAGGCAGCCTACAACCACGAAAAAAATGAGATCTATATAGGCGATATCAACTAGTTGAGTTTAAGGCTTAGTCTTGTTGGCATGCGTATATTAGTGCAATATTTGCTAGGAGAATTAATCTGGTTGGGGATTTGTAGAAAGTATATAACATATAGTACTTCTAGGGTTAGAGAACTTAAATTATAAGATATTGGAATGGGATGAGTCTGAATGGAGTGAAATGGATAGTGGCCAACCCCGTCAGCTTGGTATTGAGGTTTTAGTTGAGGTTGTTGTAGTATTGATATTTCCAGAATGTACTTTGCCGTAATCATGACACTCCTGGAGCCTGTTTCATGGCAGGGTGTTGGAGATTCAATGTCAAATTTCTCAAAGGTGAATTTACATCTGATTATGTTTTAGGCTGTGATTATCTTGTAGTCCTAATCAACTGTGAAGGCTTCCACTGTGTACCAATTTGACTGCAGTAATCTGTTGGTTTGCATTGGTTTATCCCCTTCTTTTAAAAGTGTTGCTTGTCGTGAAGCAATCCTAATTGGTTACTGAGGACTTGAAAAGAAGCATTTCACTTTTAGAGAGGTATAGCCTGCATGAACATTTCCTACATGCCAAAGCAGTTTCAATTCTAAGCTCCAGACTTTTATTGCCATGCTGAAGTTGTGACATAAAATTCAAATATCTTCATCTCAAGTTAGTTGGAGATGGTGCATGTTCTAGATGTTCAATAATTTGTACTTAATTATCTTGTGTTGTTGGAGATATTGTCATCTCTATTATCACTTCCATTGTCAAGTGTATGAGGTATGGTTTTAAAGAACTAATAATATGTTGATCTTTTGTCCTTCGCAGAAAATGGATTTTAAGTTTCCCTTGACAGTATCTTGCATACACTTTATTTGCTCAGCCATTGGTGCATACATGGTGATTAAAGTGCTAAAGCTTAAACCTCTTATTGTGGTTGACCCTGAGGATCGCTGGAGAAGGATTTTCCCCATGTCATTTGTGTTTTGTATCAACATAGTGCTGGGCAATGTCAGCCTGCGCTACATCCCTGTTTCATTTATGCAAACGATAAAGTCATTCACCCCTGCAACTACAGGTGATTTTTGGGTAGAACATTTATTATTTATTAATAAATAATTTACGAGACAAGCTTGTTGTGAAAAATATAATAGCACACAACAAAACAATTTAGCAATTCTTTATAACCTTTGCTTCACCTGTGTGCTTATATGTTTCGGGATATGGATTAGTAAATTTTTTAAGTCCTTAAGTCATATTACAAACTTCTACATCTCATTGTGCTGATTTTCCGCTTCTTTCCTCTAAAACAATGGAGGACATCTGACTGACATGTCTTTGGAACAGTTATTTTACAGTGGCTAGTTTGGAGCAAGCACTTTGACATGCGGATTTGGGCTTCTTTGATACCTATTGTTGGAGGAATTCTCCTCACCTCCATCACAGAGCTAAGTTTTAACATGTTTGGATTTTGTGCTGCCTTATTTGGTTGTCTGGCTACGTCCACAAAGACGATTCTTGCAGAGTCTCTACTGCATGGTTACAAATTTGACAGGTAATGACCTCTCTCTCTCTCTCTCTCTCTCTCTCTCTCTCTCTCTCTCTCTCACATATATATATATATATACTTACTTTTCCACCCTTTGTTAGGAAGGTTCTGAGACCGGTTTTAATTTCCTTTTCCATGGGAGAAACCGCAGTCTAGGTGGGGAATCCTGTGGTTCCTACTAGTTTACTTGTCACCAGAAAAGAAGTTCCTCTGCAGGTTTCATCACCTTGTTGATGCTTTACCTTGGCATATCATCACAAAATAGTGAACAAGCTAAAAAGGAGGAGATGACTATCTTAATCCCTCCTATCTGGATTCCAACCAAAGATATAGGTCCTATGATGACTTTAGGCCTTAATTTAGAATGAAATTGAACTCGAGATAAAAAGTTGCAACTCACGATCAGTAAAATTACTTTTGTTTTTTACAAGGAAAAAGAATATCACATAAAAAGGAATAACGAAGGAACTCAACCTCTTTATTTTTCTTTTTTCGGAAATTCACTCAGTTTGCTAATCCTTGTCTATTACTAGCCTTTTAGAGGAAAATATAAGTACTAATGAAAAGAATATTTAAGATTATAATTTAACACTGTGAGGAAAAGTCAGGGAGTCTGCAGTTATTCTTAAATTATGTGTGTTTCATTTATCTCTAGAATTATCAGCAGGTTCATTATAATTCACGAAGACTAGTTGGAGCCAAATTTATGTTATCCATTTCTATTCAGTAGTTTATTTTCAAAACTCACATTGTATTTCAACTCAGAATATAGGCTTATGGCTTCTAAAACCTAAATCCTTGTTTACACAAAATCTTACAAGAAAATATAACAAGGCATTATCAGAATTGGAACTTGCAATGACACGTTAACCGTTTGTTCATCAGTTTGGGTCATTTCATTTTCATATGCTTTCTTTTGTCATGTAAAAGGGCTGCAATCCTCTTGAGTACAACTTCATAATCAAAATTTGTATTTACCTATCAACAGAAAAAAGAAAAAGAACAGAGTTGGCTCCCCAGATAAAGTTGTACATGTGTTCATAATCAACAAAATTTTCTTAAGATTTTGGACGCTGCTCTTAATTTTGGCAGCATCATTTTTACACGTAATGTTCATTTACTTTTTTATTTTGTAGCATAAACACGGTATATTACATGGCTCCTTTTGCCACAATGATCTTGGCGGTACCAGCTTTACTACTGGAAGGCCCTGGAGTAGTGGCATGGTTGCAGACGGGCCCCCCACTTCTTTCATCCTTCTGCATTATTTTTGGCTCTGGTGTGTTGGCTTTTTGCCTCAATTTCTCTATCTTCTATGTCATTCACTCAACCACAGCAGTCACCTTTAATGTCGCTGGAAACCTTAAGGTACAAGCTATGCTCTTATTTTTTTTATTAATGCTTTTGGTTAGTTTATTGTATGAAAGTTATTCATATATACATTTTCAGATTCATGCATAGCCAGAGCTAACAATTTTTATTGCCCGTGCATTTGCGCTTTTAATAATTCTTTTATCTGTTAGCTCATTTGATTTGGCATGTTCAACTGCATTTTGGCGGTTTGGTGCATTAACATTGCTAAGCAACATGAATTTATAGATCTCATCATGACACATATGCATGTATACATGTGCCAAAATTATCTCGGGCCAATTTGAGCATATCTTGTAGGACGTTGCTTTCACTTGATCTCATCAACACTTAATGAGATGCTGACAAAGTAGAAATTTGATTCATTACTTCAACCTATGAAAGTGAAAATATAGATTGAACTTTTCAAATCAAGCTAATCTTGAGCTAGCCTTGATTGCATGTTAAATAAGACAATACAAACAAACATCTCATGAGTTGACCATTACAAACACTGTCCACCTAAATTGTCTGTTATGTTTTTGATGTCACTACGTTCCTTACTGAAGTCACGGCATTTAGATCTGTTATTGTCTTATATATAACAGTTTCCAGTTGATCGGAAAACTAAATGTACTGTTGTATTTATCAACGTTATTGTCTTTCAGTGAAAACTTCTTGTGAATATCTTTGCAGGTTGCAGTTGCTGTAACTTGTTCATGGCTTATCTTCCGAAACCCAATCTCAATGATGAATGCCGTTGGATGTGCTATAACGCTTATCGGATGTACATTCTATGGGTACGTGAGGCACATGCTCTCACAACAAACTCCAGGCACTCCTCGGACACCTCGGACCCCAAGAAAAAGTATGGAGTTTGTCCCTCTAGTAAACGAGAAGTTAGAGGATAAAGTTTAATGCCAGGTGTGCTTGAAACAGGAACTAGGTAAAACTTTGATATAGAAGAGAAGTATAAAGAAGAAACAAATCGTTCATTGTTGTCTAATTTACCGTTTAGGTATATCGAATTCTGGATCTCTTATTTAACTTATTTATTTACCTTCATCCCCTGTCCGAATTGGCTAGATTTGGTTTTTGTTTTTGCGTATAGAAGAGAAGCACAGAGAAATGATTCTTTCACTTTTGTCTAATGTACCATTTAGGTAATTCCGGTACCAAATCTTTTATTACCTCATTTATTTGCCTTACCTTTTATATCCACTCCAAGTTGCCTAATATTTGGGTTCATAGTTTGCCCACAACTTTCTGTTGTTTTTAGTTTTTGTAAAGCAATTTTTTTAATTCAAGATATGCCATGGAAAAATAGTGAAAATCGGTTTTGCAATCATTCTTTTCCTCTGCTCGAGTCAACCTGTTGCTGCTTGTTCCTAGTAGAGTTGAGATGGGCTAACTCTGTCACTCCAAATATTGGAACCCAACTTTTATGAAAAGGATTGTTGTATTCTTTTCCCTTCAATTTAACCATCCCTGTATTTTGTGTCAAGTAATTCTATAACTAGGCAAATATTCAGCCCGGAGAGAAGGGAAATATAGCTGATACAAGAACTGTATTTCGCACAAATAACAAGTTTACAGTAAGCATTAGATATATATAAAATTACAGACCAGAAGAGAATTTTTTTTAGGGAATGCTACATTGGAAATACTACTGAAAGCTTTCTACACAAATTATTTTCCATATTGTAGTGAGTGATATTAATTTCTAAACTAGGATGAAATTAAAACTAGGCCAAGAGCCAGAAATTCTTCTGCCATCTAGTGCTGATAAGGTATCCTCCCATGCCTTTGCTTTGCTTCCTTACTCCTATTGTCAAGCAATCCAATGTGTTGATGCATTGTTCCACAAATTCCTCTTCACTGCTTGGCCCACACAGACTGTAGTAGTAGTGTTGCAAAATTAAAGGAAAAATCCATCATGTAAAAAATGAAAGTTTGAAAATTAGTATTTTTCTGATTTAATTTTGCTTCAAAAATGTTGTGGGGGGGGGGGGGGGGGAGGAGATATATATACCAGGTAAGTAGATGAGAGGGCTTTTTCTGACCCAAGACTAACACAGAGACCTCCAGCTTCTTCACTTGGCTAATTACAGTTGCCATCTTTGGTCCTTGTATTACTAGTGCTTCCACCTCAACCTTTTAAAAAAAAGTGACAATAGGTCATAATACTCCAAAGAATTATGTCAATCTTTGTTTGGTAACTAGGGAAAGGAATAATAGGAGGAAATACAAAAGCCAGTGGAAGAAATTATTAGTACTGTGTTGTTTGTTTGGTTGAGAGAGAAATAAAGGATCCGAAAACCCTCTGAAAAGGAAAAGAAGAAACTGTCACTAGTAATGATTTCCCTCCTTTATTATTGTGTGCATTTGAAAGGAAAAGTAAGGACAGAAAAATGCATTGAGCAGTGAGCAGTGAGCAGCAGAGAGAGAAAGAGAGAGAAAGAGCCAAAGAGGGGGAAATAGATAGAGAAATCTCTCCTCCTTACTTCAGCAACCACCGGAAAAGGGAAAGGAAAATAAAGAAAAGATAGTAAATTTATCTATCAAAGACCAAAGCCCCTCCCAACCAAACAGACAAAGGAAAAATAAAGAAGGAAAAAACCTTCATCTTTTTATAGAAAATAAAGATAATGCTGCCTCCCCCCAAAATATACGCAAAAAAAGAAGAATAAGCAAATTCACTGAATTTATTAGCACCAATCTTTGGTTTAGCCTGATATCAAGAGACATTATAATTTAAAACTTACCCAAAAAAACACCGACAATACGTTACATTATCTTTTGCAGAAAATTAGCACTTGAACACTGTTTGACAAACAAAACAGAACATGCAGAGGAACAAAATGCAATTTGAGCACATTAATGTTACCTAATCTTTTATTACTACTATTATTCACTAATTAAACAAAAAACACTTTAGACCTATTTACCAAACAAAATATAGGTAAACCACCAAAGTATGTGGTGCACCAGATGCGGCTCCCTCAACCAGAGGTCTCGTTAGAGGCTGGGGTATGAAAAGATTGTTGGTAGGGAGCGCATTTCACGAATGAGGCCCTACGCGGCGTGAATCCGGATATAGTCGGGCTCCCATGGGATACCGGACACCCAGCGAGAAACCATTTTTTTTTTAAAATATAGGTATTTAACAAGCGCCAAGAAAAGGGACTTACTTCAGGTTTACAAGCCTTACAAAGGGATCCAAGAGAGCTAGCAAGATGAGCAGCAGATGAAGATGAATCAGCTGAAGAAGAGCCCTTACTATTAGAAGAATGTGGAACAATATGAAGCAGAGTTAGAATATCTCCTTTATTAGTAACATGTGTAAGTGCCCACATCATAGCATGTTTACTATGTGAACTCTGATCCACAACAACCATTACTCTTTTCCTCATTACTAAACCCCCACCATTATTTTGATAGCCATTTCCCCCTCCTCCACACATATTGTTCAGCTCCTCCATTTGCTTCCAATTACAGCTCTGAAATCCACCATTTCCAGTCCCACCACCCCATCTTCTTGAAGTTGATTTCCAGCCTTCTTTCCCACTTAGTTGCCTCAGAAAAGAACTTGAACTCATTGTCATTTTCCTCCACTTTTACCACTTTGCTGTTTCAAGGTTCATGTATTTTTCATTCAACACAAGAAAGTTGAGAGGGGTTTATGGAAAGAGGTCTATTTGGTGAAGCAAAGCTATGGTTTTTAATGTTTATTTATTATTGGCTAGTTTTGGGGGTTTGGNGGCCTGACCCCGAATCTTTTGTACAATTTCCTTGAGGCAAATTAGTATTGGTACACTGACTACACTCCATTACATTTTTATACAGTAGTACTGCAGTATTTGATTAGAGGTAGAATTTAAGGAGAAAAAAACAAAGAAAACGTTTTACACTTCATAAAAACTATTTTTTGATTTTAAATATATTATAGTAACTTGATAATTAAAATAATGTCATTATGGTAGAATAAAAAGTTTTATATTAAAGAGTTTCAAATAAAGGAGGAAATGGGTCTTCATCGTCATTTATAATATTGAAATTTAAAAAATATCATTTTTAGGTTTCTTATGTGTAAAAAAAAAATAGATATGTTATGTGTAAAGTAAATCTTCATAAAAAAGAATGTAATTTACAGATTAAATATGCAATATATAATGGAGTTGAGGAAGTATTGTATATGTTAAATAATTTGTCGCAAATAAGAAATAGAATGAAAAGGGACAAAAAAAATGAAAATAAGAAATTAAGCCATGATTTTTAAAGAATTTTTACAAATTGTGAGCTAGTGGCACTGCTCAATGTAATTAAGGTGGTTAAGGTCAGATCTATAATTTAAATGGATTATGATCCGATCTGATATAGCAAAGGATTAACACCTTCCTAGAGATTGTTAAGGAACCAGACTAATATTATTTTAAGATTGTTAAGGAACTAAATACTACTATATTGCAATTAATACTAGGTATTTTTAGTTGCAAGTTGCAACTAGGTACTGAAATTAATATTTAAATTATCTACTATAGAATAAAATCTCGAACTATAATATAATTTAATCAAATATACCATGTTATTTACATTATCTTCATATTACCAACTCACGCTTACTATAAACATTTATGTGCAAGTAAATATTTTTCAGTGGATCGTTTCTTCTCATTTCCCTCTGGCCTCCCTATCCAAAACAAATTACTAAAAGATACAAAAACTTAAAATCAATAATTAAGATAAATTCTCATCCCTCTGTGATAAACTAAATCAAATACGAGATCATAATCCTTTGCTATCAAATCCTTTCCTTTTCCAAATAGTAATCAAAATTCAGTGTCTTTAATTAAGTTTTATGCTATGTTCAATCTTAAGAATTAAGAATTAATGACACATTTTACTTCTTCAAAAGCCAATCTTCCTCTTCAAAAAAGATAAAAGGAAACAAAAGGAAAAACGGTTATATACGAATCGAAAATCTTTTTTTCTTGTTGAAATCATTTTTAACCCGCGTCAAAACTATTTACACATTGTAGTCTTAAAAGTGTATAAAATATTAATTTTTTTGTATACAACATACAAAAAGATGTATATACAAAAAATTATATATTTTTCGACTATTATTTTAAGAGCGGCTATATAATATTATTTTCCCAACTTCTTTTTTTTCCCTTTCACTTTCTTTTTTTCATTTTTTTTTGGTGTTGTGTTCATGATTGATCTCAGACTATATTCTGATTTCTGATCAGCCTTATCAAGAAAATCTTTGTCCATGTTCTCAATTCTGAACAATAGAATTGTCGTTTGCAGCCTTTGCCCTGTTGAGTGTTGTCATTACCACATTTTCCTGCATAAATAATGGTTAACCAAATAATAATAAGTACTTTACTTTTCATCAAGTCTCAAGACGTAATGATTTCAACAAGAGGAAAATCTTACTGAAAGTTGCTACTGCAGTTTATATATTACCTTCTATTTTAGCTTTAGAATGTGTCAAATTTGATTATCGGTAAACAAATTTCACTAAATTCTAGCTAATTGCATTTTATTAATACCTCTACTACGATAGGCACTTCATTTTATGCATTGATCAACCCGTAAGACAAAATTACCATTTTAAGAACATATTGTCAAATAATATGCATAAATCCTGTTCCGCTGCTTCGTTTTTGTCTTTGCCTAAGTATTTGTCATTATTAACATTCGTATTATCTTATTTTTATTACTCCGCGTTCAGATGCATGAGAAATCTTCTTGTTTGTATGTTTTAACGAGTTCGTGTAGTATTTTGTATAATATATATTTTCAAACTTGTGTAAGTTAAAAGGATAGATGTAACTTACGAAACATTTTTAAAGCTAGTGTTACACTATCATTTGCCCTGCATTTTCATACTTATAACTCAGACATTAGAAAAGAAGAATGGGAAAATGAACCACCCCTAAAAGACAAGAAACTGAACAGCTTCTTATGATACTTATTAATGGTATTGGTGACCATTTGTACATGGTAAAAGCCTTATCCATAATTTTATACTATAAATCATACTAGTTTATCATAGTTCACTTATAATTTAAGATAAAAATATTAATTAACTATAATTTTGTAGTACGAGTGTAAATATAATAAATGACATGTATTTATTATTTGATATAAACACCAAATACTATAAGTTTTATCTTTTGTGCATCAAGTTGACAGCTATTTTCATCCGTTGGTACATTCCATTTTGCAAATATAGGTGAGGTAATGAATATTTGATAGAGCAAGAATTTATCGTACTTTTGGCCAATTTTTTTATTTTCAAAGTTAAGGTTGCGACGCTTTTAGACGGAAAACGTACTTTCGAATAGAAATAGAATCAATTATTGAGAAGCAGAAAAAAAAAAAAAAACTCAAAAATATTTCTTTATGAAAAGCATTTTTTTTTTTTGAAAAATAGACTTATAAGTACTTTTTAAATGCTTGACCAAACATTAGTTGATGCACAAAAATATTTTTCAAATTAATTAGCCAAACACAAACTGTTTCCCGCCAAAAGTACTGAACAAATACTTTTCAACATAAAATGATTTTAAAATCTTGACCAAACAGGATATACGAGAGTTTCAAAAATCGCTGTAATCTTTTATTTTTAATCCCTTCCTTATCTATTTTAACCTTTTAAATAATCATATATCTAGTTATAATTTCTCCAAAAATTATCATTTCCTTCAATTACCATGAATTTAGGTTGCCAGAGTCCCAAGATTAATCTACTGAAAAGACAATAAAGATGTACATTGATATTACATTCTATAAAATCTTATCTTGATGAAATATTTTTACTAACATATGTTTAAAATGGAATTAAAATAAGAAAAAATAAAGAAAGAAAATCACGCTAACAGAATAATTGATAAAGGGCAATTCTGTAAATTACTAAGCAACAAGTTGCAGGCTCTGATGCGTCATTGATGATTTTGGTTTTAACTTGTTCATTCATTGAGTCAGACATTTGAGTGAGGAAGCTGGCATGGCAGCCTTTACAAATTATACAAAATAAAATTAATAAATAACCAAAAATGAATGAGCAACTTAATATAGGAATTTAAGAATAAATTAATAGGAATTTTACTTTCATCTCTAGTAAATGCAACTAATTAATTAATTTCATTATAAGTGTCATAAGTGGGCCCTCATCAGTTGAACTAAAATAAATCAACTGAAAATGAGTGATAAAATTAATACGGAATTTATTTTTACTTTAAGAACTTCTCAAATTAGCACTAAATGCAGCTACTTACTGTAGTTAATAAAATTTTTCTTTTTCCCTCGAAAATTGGGATTTGGTTGGAGGTAAGCGGTCAGTCAAATAAGGAGCAGTTTCCAAATAATTGCTCCCGCTGAAATCGCTGGGCTCTACTCTTTTTTGTTGTTTCTGTTACTATTAGGCATTGGAAAAATTATCATTTTTGTCCTTTTTCTCTAATTTTTATCTGTCTTGTTCCAATCCAACCAGGAAATAAAAAAAAGTTCCAATCCAACCACCTTTTAATTTTCCTTCAGATAATTTAGTTTGACTAACATGAGAATTCCAAATATAAATATTAATAAGAACAAAATATTACCCTATCATAAAAGTTAAAATATTCAAATGTAAACTTATTTTTTAGTACTTCTAGAAATATAATTTGGATCCTAAAATTATATAAGAAATAACTCCTTTTGTCAAGTAAAAAAATGAAGGGGTTAAAAGAATACAAGACTCAATGTTTTGTTAGTTCGTTTGGATTTGAACATTGATTTATAAATATAAATCGGAGCATGAATAGCGTATAGTATTTAAACATTGATTTTTAATCTTTTCAGATAAATTAAATTAATTAAAACGTATATATATTATATTATAAATCGCATTCTTTAAAGTTAAAAATATTTAAGAAGTTGATAATTTATAGTAGTATAATTATTTGATCATTCTTTTGGGATGAAAGGAGATATAAATCTAACGATCAAATTATGATTGGGCGCGCTACATTTTATTCAACGAAAATGTCAATATTTATTTAAATTGATAAAATAAGACAAATCAAATTGTTTGCCCTAAAAATCGGATAACAATTAAATTTGTAAGTGGTTTTAAAAATATGCAGATTAATTTGATACAAAATGATAAATTGAGTTAGAATGGACAAGTAAAGATACAATAAATTCAAACCCTGTGAGTAGGATGACTCCAACCTCAGTGAAGCATTCACCCTCGATTCGGGCTCATAATGGACAACTTTGATGAACGAGAGAAAAAACTTACAATAACAGTGAAAATAGTAGTATACTCCTTTGGAATGCGTGTTATAATGTGTCTAATGAATTATCAAATCCCACTTTATATAGTAGGGGAATCCTACTCTAAATATAACTCTATAAAAGGTAAAAATCTTTTGTTTAACTGATTATCGGTTCTACATCGATACGTGCCGAGATCCACGCTGTGATATTTGGCCGGTCGCGGATATTACGGCCTTCTGTTGGTCGTATTCGATTACCTGATCGATCTCGACTCATGACCCCGATATTTTTGAAGGCAGACAACGTGCCCATGGATTATGACTCGATGAGGCCTTTACTTTGATCCCGATCATTCGCAATCATCCTTGAGCCCGTTTTATCCTAATGGAGGCCGGAGTGTATCATGAGCCCGGTTTTTACCCGTATACAAATAGTTTCCTCGTTTCTCGGAAAGCGAGCTGGCGAGAAATGACATGAGCATCC